TGTTGAACACTGATGTCATCGATGAGATGATGATGATGATGACTTCTCTACTGGTTAGTTTCTAAATCCTTTGCTTGCTAACCATGTGATGATGATGATCGATTTTGATATGAACCATGCTGTCGATGATGATGATGATGACTTCTCTACTGGTTAGTTTCTAAATCCTTTGCTTGCTAACCATGTGATGATGATGATCGATTTGTAGTTGATATGAACAAGCTAACTTTCCACTAGCAGCAAACTTATCCGACAAATTGGACGAAGAATCACGCACTCTAGGTTCTATGCTATTTAGATAGATTGCCTGCAACCAGACATTCGTCGGCCAGTATTTTGAGAGTTCGGAAGATACCAAACTCTGTTATTTCAATAACAACCTGTCAATTATATTTATCTCTTAACGAACCGGCCGAAAGCTTGTAGTATTTTGGCTGATGTACCACCAGCCGACGGTACTTCACCGCTGCATCCTGTTCCATCCCTTAACGGAACTACGGCACCTAGTAGTTAGCACTGGTAAATATGCTAAGAGTTTATTGAGTGACCGGTTTTGGACATTTGCTACTTCTGTTGAAGATAAGATTCAAGTCTCCTAAAAAAGTGAAAAATTACTCCGAAAGACTAATCAGCATAATTTTTTGGGGTCCTCAACATGCGCGATTCTTCTGTCCCTTGTCCTAATCGGCCTTTTGTCCTCGCACGCGATCACAAAAAACCTCTTACTGTACATCGTTTGAGCATATGGGTTAATCATTTGGGGATAAACTGCTCTCAAATACTCAAATACTCTTTTAGGCCAAACGGCGAGCATATGAATGGAGCTCTGATGAAATGGGCAAATGACTACAATCTGTGGATTCAAGGGCCACGAGTGTGGTTTGTAGTATCACTATACGAAGGCCAAGGATGATGAGTTGAATGGGAGACCGATCAACCCTGGTGGCAAGAAATTTCAATTTTTTCATACCTAACTTTTAATTTCTGCTCGTACTCGGCAACCCGGGTGAACGATGAGTTCTGCGTCTACCTATCGCTGGGTCGACAGAAACGGCTGTACTCTAGTAGCCAGAGCCTGAGGACTAAAAGTTGACATTGTCATGGGCTTTCACTCATCTGTATCCTGATTCGGAAATGAACTCTGGTAGTAGAACCTTGTCCCCTGCCAGGTGCTTAGCATAATCCTCGATATCAATACGTGAACAGTGCCCACGTTCTAGATGGCTGAACGTCCAATGTTTGGGTCTCTGACCAGGAACCCTGTGGTTCGAATCTCCCCATGCCTTCTGGTCAGGTTCGAACAGTCACACAGTGAGACCAGCCATTGAACATTGGGCATTTGATGTTTTTTAGAAGTGACTCTCCCGTCAAAACTAAATTGTTATTCAGATGAGTGTATAAGTCGAGTTTCTCAGAAGTCTTTTCTCTTCGGGGTGTCGTAAATAATTTAGATGAACATGTGAAATCACTAAAGGAATGATCCCTCTATGATTACTCTACCGATCAAATAAAAATCAGACGTCCATCTGTAATATCCCATCTATGCATAGTTGTCATGCAACTAGAAGAAAGCACGAGGGTCCACATACTGCCAGGTTACCCATGCCTAGACGGGAGTAATCGAGATGTGATTCGGTTCAAATTGTGGACCTTACGTCAGAAGTTTATGATTACTCTACCGATCAAATAAAAATCAGACGTCCATCTGTAATATCCCATCTATGCATAGTTGTCATGCAACTAGAAGAAAGCACGAGGGTCCACATACTGCCAGGTTACCCATGCCTAGACGGGAGTAATCGAGATGTGATTCGGTTCAAATTGTGGACCTTCCGGTCAGTAGTTTCGTGCCCTAACTCATGATTTATATCAGGTCCCGCGATGGTCATGGGTTAAAAGCATGTGTGCTCCGGAAGAGCTCGCCTGCTGATGTGTTTGATTTGATTTTAGTTGTACTGAAATCTCGCTCCCCGTTTACAGAACTGTCCTACCGTTGCTTTGACAAATTTGTGGCTTCGTCCCAGGATCGGACAATTGCTGCGCCAACAATGTCTGAAGGTTTCCGGAATGTTCATTTCCACCCTAAACTTCAAGCCGAAGAATGTTCTTTTGTTGGGCAAACTTACGAAGTATGAGCTCGAACGTTCGTTTGAACAACACACAGATGAAAAAAATATCCACGGTGCAGTGAGTTACTTGTCGACTTTGCCGGCATATGCTTCATCAACAGCTGTTGCGTAAAGGTGTCGACGCCGACTGGTTGCTCGCACGTCACAAGATCCACAATGAGAAGCTTTCAGAATTTCAACAGATTCTCAGGTAAACATCTTCAAATGTTTTTCTCTGTATCGTGCGTTCTTCACTCCAGTCGTTGCACCCTCACCGGAGTTTGACTTAATCAAAGCGTAAATTTATTCTCAGTTGATTTGCGATCACTTTTCATTCCTCACTAACCCAATCCCCCTGGTTGGCCTACAAAAGTTGGGACTTTCGGAAATGTTGGATTCAAACTAACAGTTCTTTTACACAGTAGGTGTCAGACGGGAGGTAGCATCACTTGTTACCTGAATTGTAGGAAAATACTTTAGCTTCTCTTCATTTCTGAATATAATTTTCGTTAAGTTCGAACGGAACACGGAGGTGGAGATTTACTCATCTGGTTGGAAGCAGTCCAAAAAATAAGATGGAATGGTAGACCATGGAATGGCACACACCGCGAGCTTCTATTATATATACAGGTCATACTATCCTCCAGCTCAAAGCCAATGTAAGCTCTAGTGGGTGGAGTTGTAATCTTTTATGGCATACAAAGGTTCGAACTCCAAACACTTCGTCATATGTTTTCTTTCCGTTTTTTTCGTTCACCTTGTGTGCATAAAAATTCAGAACCAGACTTCAGCCCATTATCAGATTCAAATCTCGCTTATTTCAGGAAGCCTGTGACATTTTTTTTATATTAAATAGACTTAATTTCAGTATTTTGACATAAGGTTCACTTCACAGCAGCTCGACGTCTCCGAATGACATGCTTGCACGTTTTTTTATGACCGGATATCCTTGTGAACCCACGAACTCAATAACAGCGCTTAAAGTCTGGGTGACTTCCTTGAACTATGAGATTTTCAGTGTTTTGCTGCTTGACATTCTTTGTCGGGAACCAGGCACGCAGACACGAACTTCGATGCTTTGCGCTGCGTATCTCATCATTTTGTTTCTCGTCTGGATGATTAACCGTCTTCTAGAACTTGTTTGTTGATTGGGTGGTAGCTTCGTGAAATGATCCGGTCAGAGTAGAGCCAGCAAAGTTGTTGACAGATGCTATTCAGTTAACAGTAAAGCGAGCCGATGTAGATAATTTCGCTGCCGGTTTTTATTATTTCCCAAACCCAGCTTACCTCTGGTTTGAAATTCCGTCTGGTTTTGCCCTCAAATGCTCTGAATAAATACCTAGATGAATGTTTATTGCACTTTGCAAAGCATGTTCTTATATAGCGAAAAAATGGGAGACATTTGCAAGGAGAAGCAAAACGCCTGGCCTGTTTGCAAAGTTAAGATTCGCACCTTTCACATATTTCATCCTCAGTTTGGTTGTTTTCGTTCTGATTTCATGCAGATTGAAAGGCCTTAATGTTCGGGTAGCCGATCGGAATTCCTACACAGCTGAAGCGATCGCTTGGGCCGACATGATATTCACCGCCGGTGGAGATGGGACATTCTTGATGGGTGCGAGCAAGATAATGGACTGCCGGAAATTAATCATTGGGTTGAATACGGATCCAGATTTGTGAGTCGGATTCATGATGCCCTTGATGACGGAAAAGCGGTACTTTGTTTTTCTACATGATTAGCCCAAATATTCTCTCAGATGAATCTGAAACCTGGTTCTTATTAATGCAAATTATGAAAACGGCTATCCGAACGATAAACAATAAAAGTAACGCAGATAACGTAGATGATACTAAGGTTCGCTTCGTACCTAAGGTTTACTGTGATGTACTTGGGACGAACAGACGTGCCTCACATCTACCTGCGAAAAGTTTTTTCCACAAACGATAAGTATTTTTGTTCTGATACCAACACACTTCCCCGTAATTCATTCCCAAGTGAATTAAGTCGGCTATACGTATTGTCTAGGCTTCTTTTGTTGGCCTTTACGTTCATTACGCACACAAAGACGTAAATCTTGTTTGGCTCAGTCGCAACAGGCTGTGGGTCGGTTGTTTCCTTTGCATAGCTCGGTATCATAGAGGCGAATAACAACTATCTCAGCGGTACCTCATTTTCTTCGTATAGTTCCCCTAATCTAGCGAGAACCCAGCCTAATGACTCAGGGCCAACGTGGAATCGCTTGACCGTTACGTACTCACGATATCACGCAATTGGGAAGTCTAAGATTATCATCAGGATACATCCGTTTGTTATTTAACTACCATAGTGCCCGTGCATCTACCGAAAGTACTCTTCGATTAACAGAAAAGCTGGTATTTTCGTCGCTAACAGTATTCACTTTATTCAGATACCCTCCCTAGACTGTAATTTTATGAAGTATTCGAGGATCCAATCTTGTCTTTGATTGTTTCACCAAAACAGGCCTTTTTGCGGTCAAAATGTAGCCGGTTCCTTTTGCCTTTGGTTTTTGCATTCCATCACTGCTCCCTGCCATTCTGTATGTTGATCTTTCACTGTTTGGGTGTCTTGTGTGTTCTAGTACGGACTTTGGTTGCTGGACTGAATTTCCGCGGATCAGTAAGAGCACTTAGTTCACGTGATCATATCCAGACTACACCAAACATTTGGGTGGTTTCGAAATTTGTTAGCGTTGTGCCGTTTGTAGATTCGATAATCTCGATGCGGCTGATTATGAGCATTCCAAGGTCGTTTGGTTTTCTACCGCTTCTGGGTCAGCAGGGACAGGGAACGCAGTAACATTAAAAAAGTTAAAACTAATTTGCGTGCGACCATATGTGACAGACTTGATGAGTATGAATTCACCGTTCGGTGGATCCCGTTAACTATATGCTTAAAAACTCTAGTAATTTCCATAGCAATTTTAGGCTTTCCTGTAAATTCTCTTTTACTTTTCAGCTCGGTTGGCTATCTCTGTCTTCCAAAGTCCTGTACACGGAATCTTTCTGAGACGTTGGATCTGATCCTTTCTGGAAATTTCGAGTAAAGCCTACTTATATGTTTTGTGTACGCATCCTCCGGGTTAATAATCTCAAATGCTTTTGTGTCTCGCTTCATTCAATTTTCGTCTCTGAATCTTATTTCACGTTACTGATCTGCACAAAATAAGTGGGTTGACGTTAGTGCGCAAGTATGGGAATAAAGTAATTCCGTAGGGAAATACGCATTACCTGACATTGTCGTAGGGTGAGAACTTAACCTTGATTGCCAGTCTTCATCAGAAAGCCTTATACACGCTTCAACTTGGATGCGGAGTGTAGTCTAGTTGTAAGAAGAATAGAAATCCTCGGCTCCTCTGCGGCCGCGGTATTCGCTGATTTACCTGACTTATCGTTGACTAACCTTCAACTTGGGCGCATCAGTTCTGGTCATTTTCACGTTTTGAGAACACGGTTCCCTTACTTGTTCATTTTCTGTCAACCGTTGGCTAAATTATCTTGGTTTTGGCGTTTCATTACTCTATTGTTAGATTCAGATTATCCTGTTTACTTGTTTCATTGAATGATGTGTGCCTCTTCTGCCTATGCGACTTATGCTAATGAAGCTCTTAAGTGTAAGTTCCAATTCTGTTCGGTTCATCACATTTCCTAGAACGAGCGAATTGTCAGCTTCTAAATGATCTTGGAAAGAATTCGCGTGTGTCACTAACAACTTATACACATTTGCGTCCGTAACTTCGGAGAGCCTACTGTTGTTTTACCTGCTGGTGATCAACTCCAACGAGTAAAACCAATATTTCCGTCACAAATTTCCTGGTACTACGGTACCTCCAAGATCTTAACCATAAAGAGCCGATTTGGCGAGAAATGAAGTCTACCAATTATGATTTAAAATATCTCTGCCCACGGCTAGACATAACTTTTTCCTTGAAGGGTGAGTATACAACAACTCCATCCAAGCGGTACCTGTGTGTGTAGAAACCAACTGCTCCGTTTATAAGGGATCTGGCAACATTGTCTACGGAGCATCCCCCGCGTCTGATGATAGTAGCGAGCGCAAGTACGGCGGTGAGTTCTGGTTGATAGGGGCACCTGGTCATGCTGCACTGACTTCGCTTTCTGGGTTACTTTCTGTGACCGGAACCACATTGGCTACAGAGGCGAGCTTCATTTGCACCGCCAGGCGAACGTTGTAATGTACGTTGCGCGTCCACTGTTTAATGTGTAGGTGAAGTGTGAAAAAAGCACACATGAATTAGACTCGATTGGGTCGGATCTGATTGACTGGCCCTTTCGTTCGTTAAAGATGAAGTGTGTGTGGCCGTAGATCAAAGTTGCGCCCAACCAAATTCTGTTATCGTGACTCTTCTAATCGCCCTTTGCTTTTTTACTGCGATTGGTGTATTGTACTGTGTAATATAATGACTCTTCTTCTGAGGCAGGAGGTGGCTGATATTGGGGTTTGGCCGGGCTACAACTCATGGATTAACTGTACCGGAAACGCTAGTAGAAAGCAGCCAGAAAATCAGTGAGTCCCCATACTGTGAAAAACGGTACCTCGAAGTGGAAAAGCTGCAGTGTTTACTGCAGTAGGGAATGCGAGGAGTTTCCTCTAGACGGCTAGCATTTCCATACCCACAGACGCACCGAAGCCCTATTCCTCCATGGACGAAACGCTTTTGAATCCTCAGCAAAAGGTTAGGCGTGACCACCACCAATGAATCAGTCAATTTCAGTTTATCAGCCATAAGTAGTGTGTGTGTGCTATCGGCACATTAGCTCCAACTGTTTCAGTTTCGATCACGGGAAAACGAGAAAGTGGAACATATAACCAAGCCTTGGGGACGAAGACATTTTCAGTTTGTTCGCAAGTTGGGTAGCTACGCATTGAAGGCGATCGCTTTGATTCACGAGCGCTAATGTTATTAACCACTGGTTATTTGAGTTTCGGGGTCTCCATCCATGGAGGCGGCAGTTGCCCACCCAACTAAATTTACTGGTTAGTGTTTTCGTTCTTTGCTGCCAGGTCATACACTATCCACCTCTTTGTCGCTTCCACTCAGCACAGGGCTGGGATAAAAGAGCTCTGTGAGGCAGACGGTTTTCTGGCATGCGGAGTACATGTCCCAACCAGCGCAGCCTATGAAGCGCGAGTAATTCATCTATCGCGGGAAAGTTCCTTCTTCCTAAGACCACCTCAAGCTTCCCGTATACTCGTACGCACCCACAGAAGTACTCATACAGTGCCCTCAGCTTTTATTTCTCTTTAACAAGCCCCAAAAAATCTCTGGTGAGTGAAATAATGATAAAAACGGCTTGCTTATCTCCGAAAAAGAACGCCCAAATAATTGGGCTGAACACCTTCGACAATGATCTAATTGACCATCTGTACTTTTTCAATGAGATTCTCGACCCACAACGAAGCTCCGGACGGTGAAGTTGGAGTCCCTGACTGCTTCGGAAATACTCCAGTGGCTTTTCTTGGACATTAGCAAGTTGGTCCTGATAGTCGGTTCTGTTTACTAGTGGGGTAACATCCCGTCAGTGATTGTGTAACTTGTGTGCATTTATCTGGGCGAAACAAACCGTCCCAAGCGAATGGACTGAATCGATAGTAGTGCTTTTTAATTTACCCGCAGTGAGCGTGGTGATCAGCGCTTGACTCCCATTCTGACCATGCTTTTTAAGCCGCTTGTTTTGCGTCTTTTTACGAAGGCACTTGAAGACAACCCGAGAACAGCACGCAAGATTCCGGCCGAGAATATATTGTGTAGACCGATTTCTGTCATTTCATCAACAGCAACAGCATGTGTACAGGTGCGGTCTTGATCCGTTCGATTCTGTCGGCTAGTTCGTTCCTTTAGACACGCTTGCGCAACAGAATGTGCGCCATAAGTTCGTGAATGTCATGCTCTGTTTGTATTCACATGTTTGTGGGTACATGTCAGTGCTTGAAGAACTCTCCAAAAGCTTCCTTACAACCATAGGTGTGCTGCAAGGATTCTCTCTCTGCAAGGATCCATTCTCTTCATTTTTGTTCAGTTTCCTCATCTATGTAATGAGAGGATCTCTCCGAGCATGAATCTTGTCGAACCGGAATATGCAGACCACGCTCCCATTTTTGAAGAGCTGAAAGCACATGCGTCGCTAAAAAATCTGATCAAGATCGTCAACTACCTCGTGTGTCCTTTATTCATGAAGTTCAAGTTAGTGATACGGGAAGTGCAGTCTATGAACACGCCTCTCAGAATTCAGTGAGGCACATTTGAAGTTACAGAATATTATTCGCATCTCGTTGTTTTTCATAGCTGATTTGGAGTGGCAGAAACCTTGAGGTGGATGGAACATGACATGGCAGAAGAGATTAAAGTATGTTGCGAACAACCAGGATACTATTTGGGTCCACAAAACCCTCACTGCGTTTGGCTGGAGGCACTGAAAGGTATGGCGATAATAGTGGTGTTCATGCTGTCGATTTGTCTGACTGAGTGTTGGGGATGCAAACGCCTCGGATTTTTATGTTAGGCTATCCCTAAGTCCGATTTTTTCTTTCACCATAAAGCTACACTCAAACAAATAGATATTGAAGCACCAATGCTTTTCTGTGCAGCTTCTGTCACCAATAATGATGTACCTCATTTACGCTTTCGGCGGTGCA